CGTTGCGATTTACTTATTCGCATTGCGAATTTCCCAATTCGCGTTGCGATTTACTTATTCGCATTGCGAATTGGGAAAATCGCAACGATACTGTAGACCATCGCAACGCGATTTTCAACTATCGCATTGCGAAAATGCAACGCGAATTTGCGATAATGGAGATCGCGTTGCGAATTAGCGATCGCATTGCGATTTTGTTGGTCATTTTGGCAAATCCGGAAAAAGTTGGTTAAAATCGTATATTATATGGGATTTTTGGTCACTGAGGTTATTTTCTCTATTAATAATATATATAGTAACATAAAAATAAATCATTAAACGTTTATAATTACTATATTAATATTTTAAAATTAACTTAAAAGGTAAGTTTAAATTAATTATTTTATTAAATTTCCTGGAACTTCACATGAATTTGTCTAAGGAAAAGAGGACTAATATACGATTAAGAAATGATATGACTAAAAGTTTAATAAAATAATTAATATATTTAGTAAAACGCTTTACATATTTCGCCTCGCATGTGATTTTAGACGCGTTTTCTTGTGTGATTATAAACACTTTGCGCCTAAAGCGAGCTTTATAAAACCAAAATCATGAGGCCCTTAATTTGTATGGATTGGTGTCGGGGCATAAGTTTGATTTTGATAAATCCAAACATCTATTTTAGTCCTATCATCCCTACTGGCGTTCAAGCACATCTTAGTTCGATTGTGAGGATTTCTTGTGTCCTGGAGCCGGGTCACTACTTGGGGATGCCATTGGTTACTGGTCACAACAAAACTCCCAAGTCTTCGATTTCCTTCGTGATAAGTTAATTACACGTGTTCGAGGATGGACGAATAACTTAGTTTCTTTTGCAGGTCGAGTGATTTACATTAAGACTGTTGTTCAAGTGTTGCCATGTATGTTATGGGATGTTATTTGCTTTGGTCTGGTGATATAACATGTACAGTTTCGGCCCTTGGTGCATAGTGGTGGAGTGGTGATCCTAGCAGTGGCGGATTCAGAACTTAAAATTTGGGGTCCAAATAAATATTATAATATTATTTAATAATGACATTTGTTATTAAAAAAATAAAATCTTAATTACTGATTAAGCAATTTTAATTGATTCAGTTTAAAAAATTAAAATGTCCAAATTACTCAACTTAAAAATACATATTCATAATTTTATATATCACAATTTAATTTTCAAATCATAAAAACATCAAAATTTATTAAATTAAAATTAAGATTTAATTTAATTTAATCTCTCAATTTTAACTCACTCAAATTAAGATTTTTCTTTAAAAAATTAAAACTTAAAATATGAATTTAACTAAATTTAAGATGATAAGTAAAGAACCTAAAGAAAAGAAAACAGTAACTTGCAGGTAATTTGGTTGTAAAAGTTGATAAAAAAATTGTCGGTGGAAGGAGTCATTGCTGCTAGTTCAGATTGAGACGGCATATGGTTCCATGAGAATTGAGTTTGAATTGAAAAAAGCAAAAGAGAAACTTTGGAAGTAGAAAAAGTAAAAAAGTAAAAAATGTGAAAGGTATATAATATTTTAATCAATACTTTTTTAACTTAAGAATTTAAAATAAAATTAATTTCTTACTTACGTCAAAGAGCACAAAATTCAAGAAATGGGTGTGCAAAATTTTCACTCTCTTACTATAAAACATTATATTTTGATAACTTTCTAGAGAGAATGGGTGTGCATTTGCTGCCTTCTGGGCCAAGTAGATCCGCCCCTGGATCCTAGTGAACGCGGCTGGCCACTTCTTACATGGGATTCGTTGCGTTATCCGAAGCGACCGAGGGGTTTGGCTTTCATGATTTTCATCTTTCTAACATTGAAATTTGGCGTTTTATCTAGTCTCCGGATTTTCTTGTTGTTCATCTCATTTGTGCCAAATACTTCTCCTCGGTAATGTTTTGGATTCACCACTGGTGATCGGCCCTCATATGCGTGGCGTAGCCTGCACTCTGTCATTCAAACTTTCAAAGTTGATTTTCATTGATGTCCGGGACAGTTCCATTCCTATAAATAGTGCACGGTGGGGAGGTTCGGCTCCAATCCAGCTTCAATCTACTTATGTTGATAGCCCTTTACAGTCGATTTTGTATGAAGATTTCATGATTCCAAACACTGCTTAATGGGATGCGTCTTTGGTCTGTGATATCTTCTCTCTGTGGATGCTTATCTTATCATAAATTATCCTGTTTCTCTTTTGGCCATGGATGCTCTCCTTTGGAGTGGGCACTCATCTGGTATTTATTCTGTTCGTTCTTGATATAGTTGGCTCCGACGCCAGCAAGGTATTGATATTTATGTTTCTCGGCTTTGGCTTCATCTATCGCATTTACCCACTCTACCTCAGGTTCGGATGTTCAATTGGTGGGCTGCGCATGAAGCCCTTCCTGTTGGACATCGCTTGAACATTGTTGGTTTGTCAGATGGTGGTCGATGTTGTTTATGTGGGGTTGCAGAAGAAACAGCTACTCATGATTTAAGCAACTGTCCAGAGGTTTAGCAAATTTATGCCGCTGCTGAGTTATCCTTCACTGTTCCTTCACATCTGCACGCATCCTTTGGTGCTTGGTTGGAGTATCTCATTACTGTTTTGCCTACATCAAGATTTATTCGTATCGTCGAAATCTTTACATTCATGAGAGCCAATTTTTTCCAGGTTGGCAGCTTCTTGCATCCGTGGAGATTCTTTATTCCTCTTTCTCAGCTACGGTTTTGAATCATTCTCCGGACGGTTCATCAGCCCTTTCCGTGCTAATGGACGTGCGATGGGGAAAATCACCAACTAGAGTCATTCAGAGCAATGTTGGTGGAGCGTGTCTGCCGATTGATGGTTCCTTTACTGTGGCTATTCTTTCCCGTGACAATGCTGGCTCTATGATAGCTGGTCGGGCTCTGCCCATTTCTGGTCCTCGAGATGTTGGGATTATTGAAGCTCAAACCCTTTGCCATGACTGTTGAGATGGAGTTTAGCCAAGTAATTTTCGAGTGCAATTCTTTGAATGCGGTTTTTGTCATTTGGAATCTCCTACTTCTGATCAGTCTCTCATCCATTTCTACCTCGCCAAGGGCTGCCAATTGCTCGCCGGTAATCACCATATCACAATGCGTCATGCTCATCGCACCGTGAATGGTGCAGCACTCATGTTTCTCGTTCGTTTGTTCCGTTGTTTTTTTATTATAGTTATTCGGATTGTGTTTCTAACATTGCTGTTATTCACGCTATTTTCGAATAATGACCGCCTAAATATTTATTCATTTTACTTTTGTAGTTGATCTTTCAATTTTGTCAATAAGACTACATATCTATATAATTGTATTCAATCAAGCCACTAACCGTTAACAGTTGACTGAAAATATTTTGGTATAATTATACATATGGTCTTTTTTGGTTACATATTCTTTCAATTTAGTCTTATTTTAATAAATTAAAATAAATTAGTCTTATTTTTAATGTTGACATGTAGTACCATTCGATTGGATAATTTTTATTTTTATTTGATATATTTATTCTCCACCAATCAGAGGGTGACACAAGTCATTATATGGTTGTAAGAAAACAAACCAAGCAAAATGGAGTTAGTGAGATACAATCCAAGGGCAAAGGGGTTGGCAAACAAATGCCTAACCACTAAGCCAATACCACTTATGGTTTAATATGGACAACACTTTGTATATAATTTATATTAAAATGTATAAATACTTAAATTAATAATATTTTATATATCTTTAAAAATATATTTTTTATGTTAAGTTATTAAATATATTTTATTATTAACTTAATTTAAGAATATTTTATTACTCTTTTAATATATATATATATATATATATATATATATATATTCTTATCTTAGCTTAAATATATATTGTATGCTTATTTTAAATCTTAAAAATAATTTTAAATTAAAAATAAAATATTCTTAAATATATATTTAAAAATAAAAATAAAATATATTTTAAAATTATAATAATAATAATAATAAAACATTCTTAAATTAAGTTAATAAAAAATATTTAATAACTTAAGATAAAAATATATTGAAAAAATTAAAAATATATAAAATATTATTAATTTAAGTATTTATAAATTATGATACAAATTATGTACAAAGTGTTATCTATTTTTAACCATCAAGTAGTCTTGGCTTAGTGGTTAGGCATCTTCTTGCTAATCGAATTGCCTTTGATCGAATTCTACTTACTCCATTTTGCTAGGTTTGTTTTCTTATAACCTGTCACCTTCTGAATGGTGGAGAATAAGTGTATCAGATTAAAATTGTCATCATTAAAAATAAGACTAATTTATTTTAATTTATGAAAAATAAGACTAGATTGAAAGAATATGTAAACAAAAGGGATCATATGTATAATTATATCAAAAATATTTAACTGTCACGTTAGCATTTACGTCAATTTTAACAGTTAATGGCTTGATTGAATATAATTAAATAGTTATGTAGTTTGATTGACAATATTGAAAGATAGATAACAAAAGTAAAATAGCTAAATAGTTAGATAATGTTATAGTTTACCCTAAAAAAATATTAAATATATCAAAACAACGATAAAACCTCATGCTTACTCCAATAATAATATTAATAATAATAATAATAATCACAAACTTGATCAGATAACTGTCGGAATTCTCAGGAAATATTTGTTTGATTTGTACAAGGAAGAATCTAATCAATAAAGGTATATTTTTTAAAACGTGCTCTATTATTATTTTGTTTTCAATAGAGAAGATATATCAGGAATATATCACCTGCCACGTATCAGAAATATACATATATTGTGTTTTTAGGTGATTTGATTAAGAAAACATGAATTGTGAAAAATAATACGCATTTGGGTTTCAAATTTCGATTTAGTAAATACATTAACCTTAACTAATGAATTGGTTAGCAATAGCATACAAAGCTTGAAAAATAAAAAATAAAAACTGACCGTACAATCAACAGAGCATATCATGTAACATTGTAAAGAACAAAAGGGAAGTTTCCAACACTCTTTCAAGAATCGATCGAGTTAATGCAGGAGAACCAATTGGAAATGTTGATAAATCAGAAGATTATGCAAATAGGCAACAACTGCCAACACAAGTGAGAATCATAATCATGGGAGAGAAGCAAGCTTCATAAGCAGTTTTCTTCAATGGCTTTCATCAAGCAAAACAAGTAGCCCCTCATCTGTAATTTCCCCCATCTCCATAGCCCTATCTAATGCACTAAATCCCCCACCATCTCTAATTGAAGCCCGTGCACCTCTGCAACTCATCGACTAATTAATATCATTTATCTAACAGAGGTGAGAGTATGAGACTAACAAGTAAAACATTGCATTAAGTTTTGAAAGGGAATCCGTTTCTTTTCATTTCAGCAATCTTTTTATCAAGCACTATATAAGCAGAGTAATCATACATCATGCAATATTTTGAGGGTACGAAATAAGGTTTATCAAATAATTTGGTGTAGTACCGACGACCAATTGGTGTAGTGGGAGACACTAGATTCTTTAAACAAGGTCAGGGGTTTGAATTCTGATGTCGTGAATGGAGTAAACTGGGTCGGGAGGACCACCCTAATAATAGACCTCTGCAAAACCCGATCCGGAGTGCTAAAATTGGTACTCTATCATTTAGTCTTAAGACATGCTTAGACGGTGTCATCTATTTTCATGAAGTACTAGATTTCTTACGGATAAGCACGCAAAATATGCAACCTACCTTTTCAGTATATGCTTTGCCAAAGTGTAATGGCCTGTAGCAATGCAATGGTGTAAAGGAGTCCTGCCATGGAAATCGCGCATATTTATATCGGCACCAGATAGCATCAACAACTCAACCAACACAGGATTGCCATTTTGGCATGCCAGATGCAACAGTGAACAACCTTGTAGACAATAAGTAGGGTCATTTGAATTCTTGATTCTCTGACAGGCCGATGGATCATTCTGTATACTCTGCTCAGTGTAGCTATCAATTTTTTGGTCGTGAGCATCAGCATGGTGATACCACTCCACGCTGAAGACATCATCAAAGGTGGAATTTACAATATTGGTGTCTGAAAATGCAATTAGACGATATACTTCTCGTAAATTATCAGCCTTAACTGCTTGCCAGATGTTTATGTGGTTTGTAGACACTCCATATTGCTCTGGATCTCTGATGATTAGCAATTTGCTTACGTACTGGTTAAGAGAGGAATAATGTTAGGCTTCTTATTGGAAATCGCAGCATTTCTAAACACAGCATGGTAAGAGATGAAAGACTAACATCAAGACATTTTGCAATCATGAGGAATGACAATTATCAAAATGGGACAGGTTTGCATGTGTGCACCTTTGGGCATAAAGAAAATGAAACCAACAGGAAACACAATCTTCAATATCAAGAACAACACATCATTTTCTGGAGTGATTTACTCCCTTCTCGCACAAGAAGGTAAACAATCTCGAGATCAATTCAGAGAATGACAAAAGATATTAGAAGATTAATAATATAACAGGGGGCAACAATGACAATGCAGAAAGATGTTTCCTTCTTAATGTAAAAACCAGCCAACTGCCCCATGGCACAATGCAAGGAAGAATGGGAAAGAAGTGCATGGATGATGAAATGTGAAACTTAGGTATGATCATTAAGAGAAAAAATTCAACTATGTACCTTAGCGTTAATATATTTCTCTTTATCCGAAATTGGGTCTTTGGGACAAGGTTTTGTTATTGATGTGCTAATAGGATTTGATTCATCCACACTGCAAAGAAATTGTATAGAACAGGAAAGAGAGCAATTATTATAGTGCTAGCTACCAGATACAAAATTAAGCCATCAGCTCAACCACTTATAATCATCAGTTCAACTCCACAACTGCTTTCAAATTCATCTTTTAGAACTTGCTGATTATCATTCTAACATGTCAAATAAAAACAGTATGCTTCGGAAAATATGGCACAGGTAATAAGGGAAAGAATAGGACACGAAGAAATGCTTCAATAACTTTTATCCAACTGACATTATAGGCACATATTTTTTAATATAGACATAAATAAAAACAAAACAGGACGAGGCTTTCAACTTTTTTTCTTAAGAAAAGGAGGAAAAAAACACTCTCATAAAAAAGGAAAGATAAACAAAATATTTCCATTATTACCAAACCATATTTTAGCCCAAAAAAAAAAGACAACTCTCTCCCACTTAAAGTTCATCCTTTTGAAGATAAAGCAAAAGAATTAAATTTAGTGATCAAACAACATCCTTCTGCTTAAAACCTTCAATGGATTTTTAGACTGAAGAAATGGTTGTTTTAAAGAAGCTTAAACAAAGAACTGAGGAAATCTCTTTCATTTAATATTCCCTACTTCTCTAAATTACATTTTAGAATATCAGAGTTAGCATCAATTAAACACATATTTAGAGATCATGAAGCTGTTACTGGAAATTCTGCTAACAAATTTAAAACAAGTCAGGCAGTTTTTTTCTTTCTTAAAACCATTATTTCTCTCAGTAGATGATGACCTGGTTGATCGATATTGATATTACGTTTGTAATTAGACCTTAACATGATTTTTATATGAATTCTTTCTTTTTATAAAGAAAAACCTATGATTTTTTAACCCTTTTAATGTAAAAAAAAGAAAAAGAGTTTAAGCTCTGAACACAAAAAGACCACCAAGTTTAGAGGATTGGTTATTGGTATATGTCCTCCTAATTAAGACATTACATTAACCTAATTTGAACTATTTAGATATGATTTTGAAATATCACATAAACATACAAAAGGCAAAGTACAAATTTCATTTCCGAGAGAAATAAGTAGATACAGACAAAGCCTCAATCATACAAATTCATATTTAGCATAATTTTAATATTAATAAAGAATATTAATTTTTGTGTCTTCCTTACCTGATCTTCTATAGGCACCATATATGCTTATGAGAAATCAAGAATTACAGTTTAGTGCACAGAAATGACATCACAAATTAACAGAGCAGTTACTACCACTACACACACACACGCACATTATTTCCCCCCTGTGGATATCTTACCTCTTATTCTGAAGGAGTGAACCTTCCCATATAGAGTTACAATAAGAATTGCCCAGAGTACGAAACAGTTCCACAACAGAAGGTTCCCACACTTTGACATCTAATGTCAAAGATCTCACCTGCAACAGAAGAGAGTATTATTTTATTGAAGACTCTTAAAATGAAGGAAAGATCATGATATCAATTTCTTTCTATCAGTTTCCTCCCTATAATTTTTCTTTTGACTTAAATTTTCTTATTTCACTACAAGCAAACTTCCATTCAACACTAGTACACCATATTTTCACAGGCAAAACTACTTGTAAGTCAATGGCAGCAAAGTCGTATGTAAGTATAATAGCTGGTATGAAACTGTACAACATATTAATCCAACAGCTTGCTGCTGCACCCACAAAGAAATGAACGGGAACTAAATGTATCGTCCGAATATAAATCATATGGCATTAAAGCTGGTTTGTGTTGTAAACGGACTTTCCCAACAGACTGGTGCAACACCCAAGTGTTTGAAATGAAGGGAACTAAATACTTTAAGAGACAATAATGTTGAATGCAATTCAACAAACTAATAGATTTAATCTGAAATGGAGGAACTGTTACCTGGGTGCACCAACTGTACAGCTACTAATAACTAAGACATGATTTACAATATGTAATGCAGTTTCATGAAAATTGAGGTGGAAAGTGTAAAATGTAAAATAACAACAATAGCAAGGAGAAACCTTTGCTGCAACCTAATAGTCTCAAATTTCAACCTTAAACAGGTTGAAGACCAAATATAAAGTACTAACTATAACCCTATAACCAAGGGGAAAGACCAATAAGGTCTCTGTCTCTTTTCTGAAGAATATATTGCACCTTTGAAATGTGTACACCGAGATTGCGGTGAGCACCAGAGCATTCGATGCATAATAATATGCCAAGATTAAGAGATGCCCAATCGGGTTCATGCGAATTGCACTCTGCACAAAAATAATTTCCGGGAATTTCTCGGAGGACTGCAGAAACAGGTTCTGCTCTGTTGCCTATTTGATCATCTGAAGTACCTTGGTTATAAGGTAACAAAACATTAGAAGTTCTGCGAGCATAGTCATTATTCTCCACATGCTTTTTTTTCCAGGATGAAGCCACAACAGAAAAACAAATCACACTATCAGTAGCAATTTAATGACAATTGATATTTCAACATCGCAAACCTAGGGAAAAAAAAGAACCTGCTGCAGGCATTGATTGTTCAAAAGAGATGTAATAACTGCAGTTATTTTATTAACCCAGTCCATTCTATCCCCCACATTTTCAGCCTGCCCAAACCAATGACAAAAGTATCAGCACAATCATGGTGAAGAAAACATTATAGTCTAGCTTAATTTAGACAGTGCGAAAATATTTCCCTTTGTTTGAATACATTCTATTATTTAATACAAATATAACTGTAATAATTCACGTTTGTACAAGAGAATGTCACATGCTTAGTTCTCCTATAGATAGAAGGTCCATTTCAAGTTACAATATGTTTCTTGGAGGCAACTTAGTAACATGATAGAATAAGAAACATAATGTTGTGGTTAGATCAAGTGTATAAGCTTAATTTAGAGCAATGACACAAGGTATTTGTAAGTTATTATGATTGAAGATTATATTGGCAGATTTGAAGATCAAACGAAATGGACTATTGAAGTTATACTGTGACAATAAAGCAGCTATTAGTATACCACATAACCTAGTGTAACATGAACTAATTAAGTGTATTGAGGGAACTAATTTGTCAAGGAAAAGCTAGAAAGTGGGCTAATTTGTACTCTACATATTACTTCCAAGGGGCAACTAGCACGTCTTTACAAACAGGTCTGACAGTACCACTTTCTATGGAATTATCAAAAAGCTGAGAATGAATGATACTAATTCACCAGCTAGAGGGGGCGTGGAAAATACCATGTATAATCTTTCCTTTTCTCGAGTACGTCATGAAAATATCTTGCTCCTAAAGTTTGGAGATTAAATAAATTATTTTTAGGCAGTTTAGTTTCTTATTTTATCTCTTTATCTTTGTAATTTTAGTCTAGATATGAAATGATATATTATAAACTCGTAAACACCTTGCAAAAGCAAGCAAGGTACCAGAATCTTGCTAAGTGCCTAATATACCGTCATCTATCTTTATTAATCATAAAATCAGGAGTTTAAACTTTAGTCAATTTTAAATAACTAAATTAAGGTTTCATAAGATATTAATAGTATTGTAGTCACAAGCAAAATTCCAACGGGTAACAGTAAGAACACCAAACTAACTCCCTATCATACTATACATAGTCAGCCAAATGTAAGATATTGAGACGTAGCAGTACCATATAGTTGACAAGTTCAGCAAAAGTGAAGCAAAAAAATCCAATGACTAGTCAATATCACCTGCAATGTGTAAGTTTTAAGAGGAGATATGATCCTAAAGCAGAGCCGTAAGTCTGTATCTTCCGCATCCATTTTTATTGTTGAAGTACGAAGATCAACGGTACGACATCCCAGATTTTCATTAGATGATGTCTTATATATTGAACGAAATTTAGCAAATACACCGCTATTATGGTCAACTGCACCAGCATACTGATGGAGAAAACTCTGGAAATACAACAGACAAACACTTAACTATCTCTGTCGCACACCCTCAAATATGTCAAAACCAAAAACTAGCAAGCATCAAGACTAAAATATATTTACAGTTATATGCCCCATCATTCATAATCATAATTAGCAAACACTATGTTTCAACCTATATGATTAAACTTAAACAATCAAGCACGGTTGTAAAGAAATACTACATACCGTTGGTTTGATACCCTTATTCCTATAATAGTACAGTGTTCCTTGACTATCAAGCACAAAGAACCTCCTCTTCCAATCTCCCCTCAAACTTGAAGATCGTTTCAACAAATATCCTTGTTTGATTGTCTGGACCTGTAAAACGAATGACTTTATCATCTCCCCCGGCAATACCTTTGATGGAATAAACACAATGGCTAAAAATAACAGCCAAACAATCAATATATATGTGTGTGAGTGTGTGTGAAGATCACTCACTCACCTCCCCGTTTATTGAGGACTGCATGATTGCTTCTATGTTTTTGTCTGAATTTATGCCCATAACAAAAATGCCACCAGAACTCGTTGAAGACCCTATGTTACTTGAAGCTTTTAGAGTATCAATCTCAGCTTGGGTCCTGTATTCTTGAATACGTTTCTCAAGACTACACTGCTCAGCTTTTGCTAATTCTTTTTCCTGCTGAGCATATGTATATACCTATTATAAAAGAAATCAAATTTGTCTTCAATGGAAATCACATTAACAAACCAACCAAATCAGATCAAGTTAAACTTAATACAATGGACAGACAATGTAACGACATGGGACCCCAAAGTCACCATTTTAAAATGATAAGTGTGCACACAATCTGCTGTCAATGTCAAGGTTTAACAGAGATATACATTTAACCTGTGCATTTATATAACCCAGAATATGGATGCATTTATCATTTTGCAATCAGGAGATTGATTTCTTATTAAAAAATTTCAAAGGATGAGCTATGCAACTAGATTGTTCTATGGTATGATATATTCATGTGCATTGGCATGACCAAAAAATAATATTCGACATGGAAACTCCAAAAAAAAACACAAGAATATCTCTTGAATGTGCCTCTATCTATTATTCCTTTGTAATTGAAAACATTTACAATTAATAATATGCTAGATGCTAGATAAAAGAAAAAGATAAAAGAAAGAGATATGCAAATAATATTTATACTAAAGAATCTAATTGAAGACACAATACTCCTATAATTGCATGGATTATTTTCGCTGATCAAAATTCTTTTTTAATTGCCAACACTGAGATCATAGGGTCAATAATTTGCAATAATAACTTCTCCGATGAAGAAGTTTCTAGAAATTATTGATTCCACTAGCTACATGCCAATAACTTGTTTTTAACATCATGGGGTGGATCAACCTTCACTAAATAGTTAATCGGACAGTAGTAGTCAACAGTCAACACCTTTCTAACTCCCTCTCATTCACTTTTTCTATATATACAAAAAGAGAAAAGAAGTTCAAAATATTACCTGGTGAATAAATGGTTCTAACTGCTTCAATAATTCATACCCCTATAAAGAAAATAAACCAATCATATTCAGTCTACATAAGACATGTCAAATATATCACCTAATGAAAAAAAAAAGAAATACATCATAAAAGGAAATACAAACCAGCTTAAAATATTTAAGATGACTATCCATAATTGCACTTATAGATTCCAGAAACTCGTACTTCTTTTTTGCTTCAATATTCATTAGCACACTTACCTGTTTTCCTTAAACCACAACGAGAAGTCACCAAATGAAGCATGAAATAATATGGAAACTTAATCTTAATATAAATAAATAGGGATTTGCAGCTACAGCAAACATACTAAATTGAAGCGGCTTCTCTCAAAAGTAGATTTTGAATTTTGTAGATCCTGTCAAAAACAAAATCCATAGTCACCTATAAGCCAGGTATTTTTTTTAACAAATAAGACAACTGCACCCTACAGACAAGTTAGAAGCTGGAAGGTATCAAGAAAACATATGAGATGTGAACAATAATATGGTATAATCTGAACAAATGATGCATTCATCAGCAAAACACCAAGCCAAAGTTCCATCTTTAATATAAGGAACTGATTTTTTTTTTTATATAAGAAGAGGCCTCGTTAAAAAACCCCTTCATAACCGTTAAGCTACAAGGTATCTTAACGGGCATTGGAAGGAGGAAAAGAGTGCCCAAATTTTATTAATAAAAACATAGAGTACAACCTAAGAACATCCCCCTATATTAAAACCTTTCATAGAAACGTACACCTAAAGTAGGAAAGAAAACAAATACTCTAAACAAACTTCTGCAAACAGTATACAACCAGAGCAACCTTTACCCATTTCCTTTCTTAGCTAAAGCATCAGCTTCCCAATTACTGCTTCGCTTCACAAACCTTAGCAGCATATTTGAATCCAGCACACACTTTGCTAATTCTTTAATCAGACTGCTAAACACAGTAGGGCATAACTCTGGGAATTTAATTCAATTCACAGCAACCATAGAATCAGACTCCAAAATAAGACGCCTCTTAACTTTCCACTTCGAGGCTAAAAACAATTGCAACTCTGCTTGAATAACTTTTAGTTCTACCAGAACCGGTGGACTAGGTCCTGACGCAACCGAGAAAAACTCCAGCTTCTTGGCTTCTGAATCCCTCAGTAACCCACTGATACCACTGCACCTCCAATCACAGCCCACTGCCCCATCCACATTAACTTTAAACCAGCCTAACGGGGGAGGACACCAACCTGTGAAAGCTGAAAAATTCTTCAACTTGCCCTTGTGCACATCTGTCAGTGTAAGATCACCTACCAGAAGATCAAGAGCAATTAGAAAACCGGACTTCTTCGCCAAAAACCAAGCAACAACCCTATATCTAACCAAAAAACACATAGGTTAGATCCAACCTTCCATTTTCAAAAACTGAATTATTCCTACATAACCTGATAAACCACATAACTGCTCCTGGAATAAATTTTCAAATCTCAAAATTCGAAACTAAATCAGCCCACACGAAAATGAACTCATTAGGACAATTTGACAAACCTGAACAAACATTCCACATCCTTAGGAATCTCATCCACACTCCCCAAACAATTCTGAAAGAAAAGAAAAGATGAGTAACCGATTCAACATCCGAACCACAAAATAGACAAAGGGGATCATCGATTCCGCTAACACCCCTCCTAATCAAGGCTGACTTAACTGCCATCTTCTGGTGAAAAATCTTCCATAGGAAAATTTCAACTTTAGGATGAGCCAAACCAACCCAAACAAACTCCGACCAAAGCGAATTCAGAACCGATGAGCTTGACACTGCTTTAATGCCCGATTTTACCGAGTAGATTCCTTCACCATTCCCTCTCCACACACAGCAGTCATCATCACCTACTCCCACACTCACTTTGTCCAATAACGAAAGCAATTCAACCCAAATATCCATATCCCATTCCAACAAATTCTTTCTCATCCGAATATCCCACACCCATCTTCCATAATTAAGCGACCCAAATTCTGCTATAACCCCATCTTTGTTAATCGATAAAGCAAAAAGCCTAGGAAATCTCAATCTCATATGAAGGTTTTCGATCCATACATCTTGCCAAAAATGAATAGAATTTCCTTTCCCTACTTGCAACACCAAAAGGTTACGAAACCCTATGCTAAACATATCATTTAACCACAAATTATTAAAAACTCCCTTCCAAAGACAAGAAGATTGGGCGGACAAACTACTTCTCAGCCTTATCTCCCTTTTATCCAATTCATACTTAGAGCAGACCATATTTTTCCACCAGGTATCTTTCTCACTTCCAAATTTCAAACCCACTTACCTAGAAGAGCTTTATTCATAAGCTTTAAGTCATTGATCCCCAACCCTCCAAACTCTTTTTGTTTGCAAACTTGCGACCAATTAACCCAATGAACTCTATTCTTCTGTGAAGTACTACCCATAAAAAATTTGCCATAACTGAATTCAAACATCTAGCAACTTGAGAAGGCATTTTAAACAAAGACATATAGTATATTGGAAGTGTCGAGAGGACAGGTTTCACAGTCACAACCCTTCCAGCGAGTGAAAGTGTTGAAGCTTTCCAACCAGCTAATTTCTGATAAAAGCTATTAATAATCAGCTACCATAAAACTATCAAATTCCTCTAGAATCCAAGAGGGAGCCCGAGATACTCCGTCAGAAAAACATCTGCTCTACACCCAATAGATATTGCTCAGTCATTAACAGTCGATGTCTTCAAATTGACCCCAAAAAATTTTGCTTTTCGAAAGATTTAACTTCAAGCTTGTGCACATCTCAAAAACAACTAAAATCCTCTTAACATTCTTCAATTGACCTTCATTTGCTCCACAAAAAATAATTAAATCATCAGCGAATTGCAGATGAGATAATAGAAACGAATTACTGTCACAACCAATCTGAAAGCCATTAAACAAACCCAACTCCACCGCATTAGACAACATTAGATTAAGCAACTCTCCAAGTAAGTTAAATAACATAGGCAATAGACTGCAACCTTGACATAAACCCCTCGATACGTTAAAACTTTCTGTCGGAGAGTCATTGACCATGACAGAAATAGTAGAAGAGGAAATACACTCGAAGATCCAAGAACGCCATTTCTGTCTGAAACCCATGTGCTCCATAATCTTCATTAAGACATCCCAATCAACTAAATCATAAGCTTTCTTAAAATTCACTTTGAAAGCGATACCTCTCCTACCTTTTCTCCTCCAATAGTGGATGGCTTCATTTGCGATAAAAGAGAAATCGCATATCTGTCTACGTGAACTGTGAAAGACCAATCAGCGAATCTAAGCACAATCTTAGCCTCAATGAAAGCACTTTCAACAAAATCTTATACAATCCCCCCACCAAGCTAATTGGTCTATAATCTTCTATTCCAACCGGATTTGACTTCTTTGGAATCAGAGTAATAACGTATGATTCACACCTTTTTGCAGTTTCTTACCCGAGTAAAAATCCTCAAAGAACTTCAAGATATCTTCCTTAAGCGAAGGCCAAATTTTTTGAAAAACCCCATGTTCGATCCATCCAGACCCGACGCCTTATTGCTATATGACGAATTAAAAGCCTCCCAACCTTCCTCCTCTGAAAACTTCCTTTCCACCAGTGAGCATTGATTCTCTGATAAGTACTTGAAAGACAAATCAAAATTCAATACATCCAAAGTTGGCTTCAAATTGTAGTTTTTCTTGAAAAACCCACTGACATAAGTTTTTATCTCATTTGGATTAGAAACAACCTTGCCATTCACTTCCAATTTCTTCAGGCCATTTATTCTTCCCCTATTTGATGCGCACTGATGGAAATACCGAGAATTCCGATCTCCATCTTGAATCCATTTCGCTCGAGATTTTTGAAACCAAATATGTTCCTATTTTTTGTACATTGACCACAACTCCTTCTTGTTGGGAAATAAACAACAAGTAATTTTCCTTTAGCCACATTAGTGAGAACACGAAATAAAAGTGGAAAATTAATACCCGAAAAATTGATAACGGAGTTCAGCCAATTGTGCTTACGTCTCCGGACTGTTGCAGATCTTTTACTAAAGAGAAAATTTACAGATGTTTACAAAACACACTTGAGAGAGAACTGGAAGATTTTGGGATGATTTTGAAGCTAAATGGGCTAGGGTATTTATAGTTGAATCTTAAGGACTAATCTTATAAATATCCTAAAATTTGCAGTGGCTAAAAAAGTAATTAACTCATTTCCAAAAAATATAAAAAATTGGGAGAATTAATTGCACCGAATTCGGTGCCCCCATGCGCCTCCATTCTTGACCCCATGTGCTTCCATTTTTTACTTTACAATCTCCCACTTGAAGACTGATTTTAATCTGTCTTCACACCTCGATCAATGTAGCAGCTTTTCTGGTCTTGTTATTCTAGCATTCCAACTGAAGTTGAACACAACTTCAGTTTGTCTGTAGTCACCGTCTTTGTCAACATGTCTGCTGGATTTTGAGATCCACTAATCTTTTCAAGCTTCAAAATCCCATCTTCTAGAAGAGACCGGATAAAATGATATCTCAATTGTATGTGCTTCGTCCTGGAATGAAAAGAAGGATTCTTTGCTAGATGAATAGCACTTTGACTGTCGCAATACAAGACACTGTTTTCTTGTTTCTTGCCTAACTCTTCCAAGAAACTTTGGAGCCAAACCATCTCCTTGCTGGCTTCCGTAACAGCGACATATTCTGCTTCAGTTGTGGAGAGAGCAACTATCTTCTGTAGTTGAGAAACCCAACTCACTGCAGTACCTCCTAGAGTATAGACATACCCTGTAGTGCTCCTTATGTCAACATTTCCGACTAAGTCAACATCTACATAGCCTGTCAGTATCGTATCTCCACCTTTGAAACAAAGTGCTTTGTTTGTAGTACCCCGCAGATATCTGAGGATCCATTTCACTGCTTCCCAGTGTACCTTGCCCGGATTATTCATGTACCTGCTAGCAGCTCCCACTGCATGAGCAATATCTGGTCTGGTACAAACCATGGCATACATTAGACTTCCAATTGCTGAGGCTTACGGCACCTTCACCATGTGTGCACGTTCTTCCTCCGTCTTTGGTGACTGTTCTTTGATGAGTCTAAAATGAACACCTAAAGGTGTACTTACTGGTTTAGCATCTTGCATGTTGAACCTGGAGAGTACTTTGTTGATGTACTCAGCTTGTGATAACATCAAAGTCCCTGACTTTGTGCCTCTCTTTATCCTCATTCCAAGAATCTACTTTACAGCGCCCAGATCCTTCATAGCAAACTGCTTCGACAATTCTTGCTTCAAGTGTATAATCTCTTGCATGTCTGAGCCTGCAACGAGCATGTCATCAACATA